AAAACACATTAGTAAACANTTCAGCATGTGTTGAATCTTCATTCAATAAAAACAATCTTGCTCCTTTGAGATCATCAACCACAAAATCCCAACGGCAATCTTTCAACAACCATTCTCCATACACTGCATGTAACTGACGAATCATCTGCAAAAATTCAAAATAAAACACATTAGTAAACATAGAGAATTTCATGAAAGTTTACTAAACATCGTCTGGATGACATACCAGTAAGTCGTCCGGACGACTTACCCGTAAGTCGTTCGGACGACTTACTTCTAAGTCGCCCATTGAGGTCCTTTTTGCAATTGAAATTTAAATGGGACGACTTACTTCTAAGTCGACCAGCTTTGTTTGTTAAAAAAACGCCAGACGACTTATAATTAAGTCGTCTAGGTAAAACGGGCTACTTCTGCATTTGACCGAATTGTGTCAGATATTTGACTTTTTCTGGACGACTTAAAATTAAGTCGTACCCGGAAAGTTAAAATTTCAATATTTTATTAAATCTAGACGACTTATCCGTAAATCGTCTAGATTTAATAAAATATTAAAATTTTAAAAGTCAAATATCTGACACAATTCGGTCAAATGTAAAAGTAGACCGTTTAACCTAGACGACTTAATTATAAGTCGTCTGGTGTTTTTTTTTAACAAACAAAGCTGGACGACTTAGAAGTAAGTCGTCCGTTTGACCAGAAGACTTATCCGTAAGTCTTCTACATCCAGAAGACTTACGGGTAAGTCTTCTACGCGAAGAGATCTGGAAAAAAATTCAATTTCAAACCTTAAACTAGGTGAGATGACTTCCTTTGCACACAGTGTCTTCTCCAACCACTCAGAACATCGAACGAAAGTAACCCACCAACAATTGTATGCTTAAATGGCTCTATCAACCATAAAAATTTTGCTATCAAAAGCTTAGGTTTTTGGTATGAATATGGAGACAAAGTGAAGGAGATGTTGTTTTTAGTTCATAACAATTGAGAAAGAGAGTATGAGTATCGATTTTAAGTGCATTAAAAGCTTCAAACCTTGGTTGTACAAGGTTGTTGGGTTGTACAAGGTTGTTAGGAGTATTCATGGCAATGGCAATGTTGTAAATACTTGAAGATGATGAGGTTGAGAGAGTAAAATGGCCATTTTCGAAAAAAAAAAAATTAATGGTATTTTTGTAAATAAAATGAAGATGTGGGGTGGATAGGACAAAAACAAGATAAGTTAAAAGAAGAAGTTAGTTTTGTGTTTGACCATGAGTTTTGAGTCAAATTTGCAAAAAACCCTTATAATTAACTAAAATACCTCTTTTAGCAATTGACATTACTCTCACACCTATATACCATCTTCATGTTCCTCAATGGTAAGATGACCTAATCATTCTTTTGCTCTATAATCATAATAAATAAATTAAAAAAAAAACTTTTTGACAATGATATAATAAATAAAAATTTGTAGCTGAAAAGCCATAAAACATTGAAGTTTTCTACGGTTAACCGAAAGAAAAAAAGTCAAAAATACTCACGTTCACATTTTGTATTGAGTTGAGGTCTGTATGACGTTTTATACGATTAATATCCATATAAGCAGCCAAATCTCATTGGTCTTCTTTAGAATAAGACAATGAAAGAATCACAAAATTTGTGAATTAATCATCTTTCGTTAAAGAAAAAAGAAAAGAAAAATCTAACTCAAAACTATTTTATATAATAGTTTTTATTTCAAAAAATATTATTATATAATATTTTTTTTATTACCTCAGCTGTCGATGATGCTTTAATTTTTCCTTTTTTGGAAAACTAATCTCTGAAACATAAGGAATCTCAAGTGACATCTTCAAAGTAAATGATATAAAACAAAAAGAGTATCAAGTTGAGAAGAAGAAAACATTTATAGTTTCAAAATGATCTACTAAAAAGTAATCATAAACCTATATCTTTTTCTTTTTCTTTTGCTACACACTCCAAACACAGAAAAACAAACTGATGAAGAAGACGAAACAATGGACAAAAAAGAGGGGAAGACAATTAGTTGTTAAAAGTTATATAGAAAATGAAAACCATAATAAGGAGTTGTAGATGAACGTGGTAGACTTGGCGGTAGAGATCTGAAAAATCTAGGGAATGAAAGAACTTTTTCGATTATGTATTTTAAATTTTAGTAGAATTATTTAGGGACCGTACTTTTTCTTTACTAGAAAATTTAAAAATTTCTTTAATTAATTCTTTAAAAAAAATCTAATGACACGTGTCATTCACAGAATTATCAAATGATTTATGTTTTATATAATAAAAGATGCCCAAATCAAAGCCATTAGAAGAACAAATAAGGATGACTATAAGCTTTTGGATGGATCTTTCGGTTGTAGCATGTAGTGTTTGTTTCCGACTCAGGCTGAAACATGGAACTGAATTCAATCCAAACATTGTTTGTTTGTTCGCTATCATTGAACGGAAAGTTTTCATTAAAATTCGTTGAATCGAAAGTTTCCACTAAAAGAGTTATCTTCAAAGATATTTTAAGTCTCAAATTGGAACTTTTGACAAAAACATTCTAATATATAATTTTTTATATACTAAATTACTGGTCACTCAACAAATCTTATTATGATATATGTATATATACAAAATACTAAACTAAAAAGTAAAATTTTCTTAACCAAAAAATACTTACGCTCATTAATTTTCTTTTTTACAAAAATATTATATTTTCCAGATTGTAAAATTTTAAACATCTATATTTTTTCAAATCACTACCACCAGGTTCAAAAATAAATACTCCCTCCGTTTCGAAATAATTGTCATTCTAGAGAAAAATTTTCGTTTTAAAATAAGTGTCGTTTTAGAGTTTCGAGGCAAAATTTATTAGTTTTGTATGATATTCTATTTTTCTATTGATTGAAAAGTGGTTAGGTGTATAGGTAATTATGTTTTTATCTCAAAAATATGTAAAATTAAATGTTTCCTTAATTTGTTTGTAAAAATCTAGAATGACAATTAAAATGAAACGGAGGGAGTAATGTTTAAGTGCAAACAATGAAACGATTTCAACCTGCCTCATCTTCTATTTATTTTCAATAACTAATTTGTTCTCTCTCTCTTAATCCAGATTCAGTTTATTCTTTTCTCAAACTTTTTGCATGAATCACAAATGTTAATTAAGTTTCCTCATGCTTCGTTCTTCAAAAACTCAAACCTTTTTCATGAATCACAAATGTCAATTAAGTTTCCTAATGCTTTGTTCTTTAAAAACAAATAGAAAAGCAAAACACTAGCAACAAACGTAACTGAGGTGATAATAAGTATATAGGATTACATTATATAACTACTGTTTTCCATTATACAAATCTGTGTTTTTAATGCCTTATTCTAAACCAATTGATTTACGGATTTGGCTGCGTATATAGATTTAAAACATCAAACCATGACCCGATTTGAAATCTGAATGTGAGTATTCTGACACTTTTTCTTCAGTTAACCATGGAAACTTTCAATATCTGAGTTTTTCCAGAAAGAAGTTATGGTAATTATAGTCAAATGAAAAGCTATGTCATCTTACCACTCTAAACCCTAGAGATGGCATATGGGAACAAGATTTAAGTCAATGTTAATATATATTAGGTAACTAAAACCGTAAGTTATTATATTTTTCTAGATATTTTGTCCAAAATTTATGGAAACAGAGAACATTTAAGGCCATATGCAAATACAACTTTGACAATTGACACTCAACAACAATGGAAAGATACTCGAACGATCTAATTAAGTGATAAGAAATAGTTCTATAATTTTATGTAACTCTTTGTCTTTTTCCTGGAAATAATGTCGATGATGGTAGTATTGACCTGTTACAGTCTTTGATTTAACATGTAAACATAAAAATAATTTCTCATGTTTAGATGATCAAATATTATTCAAATTATTTGAACTGGATTTATTTAAAACCAATCGTTGTTGTCTCTTACCTGCTCAATATAATTTCAAGAAATAATGCTTAACTATAAACGTAACTGATTTGTGTTTTCTACTTGAAAAAGTATTTGATTTTTGTTTTGCAATATGCATAAAAAATATTAGCCAACCCGCGCAACATCGGGCAAATATCTACTAGAATGTCTAAATCATGAGTCAAAGTTCTTAAGCATCGGATGAAGTCGAGCTATAAGAGCTACAATTTTAAATCTGCAGTTCTCTTTTTTTTTCCTTTTATTTACTAAGCCTGACTAAATCAAGAATGAATTTCAAACCTCTTCACCGATGATAAATTGATTATGTTTCATGCTCTCAAACTACTGGTTCATAAATTTTAATAACTATTTTTGAATCTTCTTTTATGTGTAATCTTCTTCTCAAAAAAGCAAAAGATGATTCGAACGTATTAATTAAGCTAGCTTTTTCATATATTCGGTCTCTGACAAAGAATCTAATGTGAATATAACAGGCAATCTAAAGTTTACAAGACGATATATCAGCTAGCAAATGAAGAAGATTTTGGAGTTTATTGATAATGATCATGATGACGAAGATGTTAGAAAGAACTATACACTGAGATTAGAAGAATGAACATAGAAAAGAAAAACTACAAAAATTGTGGACACAATTAGCAATTCCAAGTTTTAACTTATAACATAAAACAACTAAAAAATCAAAATAAAACAACAAAAAATCAAAATAAAAAATTACACAAACATAAAAATCTTGGGGGAAACCACTAGTCTCCACGAAAAACAAAATATTTTGAAATTTGCAAGGAAAAATAAAAATTTACATAGAAATACATAATTAAATATTAAATTACATTTACATAAAACTATAGTTAGTAGTGTTTTCATATGATCAACCAATGTATTTATAAATATAAAAATGAGTCTAGTGGTTTGCGTCCAACATTGACACAATCCCTGCCAATGCATCTTACATTGTTGGTACCAAAGCACCAACACCAACAATATGAGAAGCATTGGCAGAGATTGTGTCAGGGAAGCTAGAGATCTAAGACACAAGCATCACGTACTCAGGCTCTGCGTGATGATATCTAAACAATTCCTGAAAAACATTGAAAACACACAAACAAATCAAGAAGAAGAACAGATTTATCAAACAAACAAAAAAATCTCTTACAGTAACAGCAGACTCGTCAAGATTAGCAAAATCATGACTCATGAGGTAGCTTTACCCAAATTCCCTTCTTCCCCTTCAAAATTCAAAACAACAAAAATTCAAGACTTGAGAGCACATTAAAAAAAATTGATTTGAAATCTGAGAAAGTGGTGGAAAGAACCTCTTGTTTCCAATGGAAAAGAGAAGCCGTAGGGTGAAAACTTCAGCATCCATTGGTTCCTCCAAGGTTACGGTAACGCCATCGTAATTGTCAGTCTCTCCGATAAGAATATCCATCTCTACTCTCTCTCTTGGGTGGTTAAGACGAGGAAGATACTTCAAGTAATCTACACCCCACGATCTCATTCCTTATCAAAATTAAAATGAATCAAACTAAAGACTTTTATAGGGAGAGGTGAAGGCTTTCTCTTGACTCTTAACATTTTGTTTTTCTTTTTTTAACCAAACATTTTGGTTTTCTATTTGAAGAAATGAAGTGCTGATTGAACTTTCCTAATTAAATGATTTTTTAAACTAAACAAAGAGGAGTGAAGAAAGAAGGGTTCGGTTCTTTTCTTCTCGGTTACCTCGAAGAGACAAAGACGTTTTTTAGAGTAACAACCAACCATTTTAAATTGACTGTTATTTCATTTCTGTTTAGTAGGTATTTCCACGAAAATACGGTGGTTTGTTTTCTTGAAAATACAATTATCTAATTACCTTTTTCCTCCTAAAATTATAAAAATTTACATTTCTTTTACATCAAATAATTATTCTATTAATCAAACTTAAAATAATCTAGGTAACCAGACCTAATAGAACAACCAACAAAACAAAATTCCCTGTGAAAAGATCTTATAATCTTAACTAAAGAATTTGGAATCTCATTCTATACTCTTGAAATATTAAAAATCTTGAAGTCTGGAAAGTATATCAGCAACGTCTTAATTCTTTTCAATTCCATCGCAAAACTCGACCAGGCTTGAGGTTCCTTAATCATTGCGGCCAGATCCTTGTAATCAGTTCCAAAACGCTGACATGGCGAATGTTAAAACATGTTCTCCATTGCACATCGTAGTGCTTCTAACTATGAATGTAAAGCAGTCTTCCGCCTACTAAGATTACGTATTTCCAAAAGCTGACTCTTCCGAAACTATCCTTCCATACCCAACCACACCCACTTAACCGAGCTGTAGAGGTCCACAAACTATCCACCATACAGATATTATCAATTCTTATGAACTGGCTTCCTTCTGTAATGTATTAGTGAGAAACTGGAGAGTTCATCCCATTTGCTTTCAACCAAGCTTGACATTCACTCTGCATAACGGACTAACTCCAAATGATCCCTATCAATTCCCTTGACTAATTTATCATTCCAAGCCTTCCAAATATACCAGATTATCCAGTGATAAAGATCTCTATTTAGTTCTGGTTCAACAATATCATTTTTCCTACAGAATAGATAATCCATATTAACGTAGATACTTCGTAGTGGAAACATGTTGGGGTTATGTTGGGGACAAAATCGGTACGACGGAACCAATGACCAAAACTTTCTGCAAAATAAAAAATACGTTTTATAAAACTCGAGAATTTTTTTTCTAAGGACTTTTCAAACAAAGCCGGTTCAGCTCGTCGTACGGCGAACTGGTCGGTCTCGGACCAGCTCGCCGTACGGCAAACTGGCTCGACCAAGACAGCTTTCCGTACGCCGAACTTGCTCAACCAAGATAGCTCGCCGTACGGCGAGATGAACCATTCCCGGTTCGGTTCGCCGTACGTCGAGCTGACTGTCCCGAGCCTCGATCTCCCAAGTCCTCGACTCAAGGCATGTGTCCTTCGGCTCGATCATGCTCTGAACCATGGTTGAAATGTCTCTTGTTTCGTCTCGATCCATCTTACCGTTCAAGTTTTACGACAAAAATCGTAAAAGTCTTCATTTCTCGTAAACTTCGGGAAGATCGTATAAAACGACAACAATTAAACGGAACATCGTACATTGTCAAACTATGCGATCAAATCGAGAAATCTTATAAAAACGGCATCGTATCAGGAAACGATCTCGTCTAAAATCGTAAAACGGTTTTTATCGCAAAACGGCTCAGACAGCCCAAAAGCGCGATAAAAACCCACTTGTCACTTTAAACGAAATCCACCCCCAAAGATACAATGAAGGTTTTAAGGTTTACTCGCAGAAAGAAGATAAATGTCAAGTTTGAAGATAAATGTCAAGTTTGAAGATAAATGTCAAATTTGGAGATAAACAGAAGATTTCCGCAAAGAAAAAGGAAAGCTCGAGATAAATGGAAGGTTCCCGATAAACTTGACTCTGGACGAAAAGGAAAGACCAAACCGCCTAGGAAGGGAGTATATAAGCAAAAGGCTGAGGAAATAAGCGGGGGACGATTTTCCAGAGCTTTCACCACCAGAAACTTAGCACTTAATGTTTTTTCCGTTTTTGTTATCGAGCTGCGCCTCAACTATGGTTTTAGTCTTAGACTGCTAGGGTTAGGATTTTTCCGATGGCTCACGTGGCTAAGGCTTACTCTGGTTGTACCGTTCTTACGCAAATTTGGAATAAGACTCTTTTCATTCTCAATCTCATTTTTCTTTACATCTCTTTAGCTAATTCATATTAATCGCGTTCTTGATTGTTCTTGCGCGGTTCCGCAGATAGCCGGGTCCTCTGAGAAATTAGGGTTTACTCTAAATTCTCATATTTACGTAATCTTAACAGTAGGTGAATTTCGGTTCCCACAGTTTGGCGCTAGAAGGAGGGGGGATCAGATCTGTCATACACTCAAACCGTAGCACGCTCAATCAAGAAACGATGACTGGAGACAACCAAACTCGCGACAAAAGCGATAACGTTGACAAAACACAACCACCACAAGATGTGTCCGCGGCCAACGCTACAAACGCTAACGCTGTGACCATCGAAAAGATACTCTCCGACTTTAAAAAAATATCGGAAGAGCAAGAAAAGCTCATTGGTTCACTCGCAAAACAGGTCAAAACCCTAACTGCAAAAACCAGAGCGATTCGCCCCCGCGGAACCACTAAGATCCACGGAAAGAGGCTCGATTTCGGGACTCCTATAGATCGTCCCAGAGCCGAGCATGGAAATCAGACGGAGAAAGACTCCAAAAAAGATAACCCTGACGCGACGCTGAACGAATAGGACAAATCTCCTACTCACAGACAGGAGACCAAGGAAGACGACATCGAAAGAGTTAACTTGGAAACGGAGCGACCAAGCCGACTCGTCGGACGAGGACGCGGACGTCCATCCTAGGAGAAGGAAAAATCACAGCCCTCTGCCGGAGTCTTCTCCTGAGTGTTCTTTTACTGGAGACGAGGAGGAGCTCTATTTTGCGCAACTCGCAAAAACAGCCTAAGAACAGTCTCGAGTTACTCGTAGCAAACGCCGACGAAGTCGGAAAACTGCTGGTGACCTAACTGAGATCTGTGATCTCCGCGAGTACATTAACAAAACGGACGCAGCGGTAAAAGCGGTGAAGTCTCAAATTCACCACGCTACCAGCGCCGCACCTGAAATCGATCAACTGCTATACGAATCTCGGAAAACGCCTTTTACGGCTCTCATCACCGAGGTCAAGCTACCCGATCCAGGCAAGCTCAAGGTGCCGACTTACGACGGGACGGCTGATCCCAAAGCGCACCTGCAAGCCTTTCAGATTACCATGGGACGAGCCAAGCTCAAGGATCACGAAAAAGACGTGGGATACTGCCGCATTTTCGTCGAAAATCTAGAAGGAGCAGCGCTCGAGTGGTTCGCTAAACTTAGGCGAAACTCAATCGGGAGTTTTCGCCAGCTTTCTTCTGAATTCCTGAAGTAGTACTCGATGTTTACAAACCGGGAAACTTCTGACGCTGATCTCTGGAGTTTATCGCAGAAGGAAGACGAATCCCTTCGCGACTTTATGAGCAGATTCAAACTCGTCATGGCTAGGGTTAGCGGAATAAGCAAAAAAGCCGCCATCAACGCGCTGAGAAAATCATTGTAGTTCAAGTTGAAGTTTCGAAAGTGGATAACTCTCGAAAAACCACGAACGCTCCATGACGCGCTCCACAAAGCTACCGACTACATAACCATCGAAGAGGAGACTAAAATCCTATCTGAAAAGCATAAGCCGGCGAAAGCGTCCGCAAAGGACATCGCATCCGAGCAGAAGCTGAAAAAGAAAAACTCTCGTAACGACAAATTCGTCCATCACGAGGGGCAGGATCTCAAGATCTCCAAGGGGCGCACAACTACGCCATTAACTTCGGATCCGAACAAGGGCAAAGTACGGAGAACACGTGGTCAAGGAATCCGAATTATGACGAGAATTTTTTCTGCAATCTTCATCAAACCCATGGGCATTCTACTGTGAACTGCAAAGTTCTCGGCGCCAGACTTGCCGCAAAATTGATCGCGGGAGAACTCTCCGAGATATCCAGCGTCAAGGATCTTATCCGCGATTCAGATCGTCCTTCGAAAACCGACAGGCGAGTGGAAACTCCTCCTCAAGGGAACCAGTCGGGCAAAAAATGCGGACGAAGGCAAGATGAGAAAGGTAACGATGCTAACCGCCGAAAGATAATATGATCATCGGCGAATCGCAGTATTACACCAACACCATCTCGTCTATCAAGTCCTACCAACAAAAAGCCGAAACCGGCTCGAGTTGGAAGGTGCCATCGGATAACACCCCGAAGGGGGTGATCTCTTTCGATGACGCAGAAACCGGCGGAATCGATCAACCACACGGCGATCCTCTCGTCATTGACTTAGTCATAAGCGACCTAGAAGTCACTCGAATCCTGGTCGATACTGGAAGCACCGTCAACGTAATCTTCTGCAACACGTTGGCACGCATGGGAATCGATTTATCAAAGGTCGAGCCGTTACCAAAGCCGTTGACTAGTTTTTCCGACGAAACATCTATGACTCTAGGATCAATCCGACTTCCGGTCGCAGCCAAAGAAGTGACAAAACATCTATGACTCTAGGATCAATCCGACTACCGGTCCCTAGCCATCTACAACGTGATCATGGGCACGCCTTGGATAAACTCCATGAAAGCGGTTCTGTCGACATATCACTTAGGCATCAAGTTTCCGACCCCTACTGGAGTCGCGCAATTTGGGGATGCCAGACACAATCGCGATCTTGCTTTTTAGCCGAACATAAGGCAATTGGCGGTTGCAGTCGTGAAACCGAAACGGGCGAAGTTCACACCACCGCCCGCGGACCAGTAACGGTCGAGAAGCAACAAGCTTCCAAACCCATCGCTTCTACCCAACCGAAGGAGACAAGCCCGGACCAAGACATTGATCCAGCGACTAAAGTGATCGAG